ACACACACACACACACACACACACACACACACATACACACACACACACACACACACACATACACACACACACACACACACACACAGGTAGGCGCACTTAACTGAGTATTTGTGTCTTGTGTATTGTATACGTACACGTGAGAGTCGCTGATACATGACCCAGGCATGGTCCAGCATGTCACTGAATATCTACTCTTCTCTTCGGGTCGGCCTTCCACCGTTTCTTAGGGCGCGAGCCTGCATGTGTTGCATCCCCGTTTGTTGACACATAGTTATATAGTAATGCTATATACTTTTATGATACTAATTATGAATTGGTTATCGAGGTCGGCTTACTACCACACGGCCATCCGTAAATGACTCTCTCTCTCTCTCTCTCTCTCTCTCTCTCTCTCTCTCTCTCTCTCTCTCTCTCTCTCTCTCTCTCTCTCTCTCTCCTCCTCTCTCTCTCTCTCTCTCGCTCTCTCTCTCTCTCTCTGTCTCTCTCTCTCTCTTTCTCTCTTGAGTTTGCTCTTCCCCGACATTAATTAAAGTATGACATCGATGACAATACGCCGCGTCGCTGTTTGCGCTCCGGCCGTATTAAACACGTGGTGTGATTTCGCACACAGGCGGCGTGCGCCTATGTTTAGCTCGAGCAATTAATATATCGCACGTGAGTAGCCTAACGTTGAGCCGAAGCCCTGTCATCGGCGTATGTGGCGACGTTACACAACGAAGCATCTCGGTTGTCTAATGAACATTGTCGTTGCTCGGCGGATGTTCGAAGGCAACGGAGAACTTGCGATGACAGCCGTAGAGAAGGTGGAGAGATGTGTCGCATGATGCGGGGGCTTACTTGTAGAATGATGGTTTCGCAATAAATGTGCGGATGTTGGCGTGTGTATGTCCCTGTTACTCGCGCTAGATATCAGGCGTTCATATAATAATAGACGGAGCTATCTATAGACAGACTGTCTGCCATGAGCTGCCGACACTATAGATGTAGACGATAAATTTCGTTGTGTGCGCGCGCGTGTGTGTGCGTGCGTGCGTGCGTGCGTGCGTACGTGCGTGCGTGCGTGCGTGCGTGTGCGTGTGTGTGTGTGTGTGTGTGTGTGTGTGTGTGTGTGTGCGTGCGTATGTGTGTGTGTGCATGCATGTGTGATGTGTGTGCGTGTGTTTGTCTGTCTGTCTGTCTGTCTGTGTATGCTTCACACAGTATGTCTTCATTAACACAAAAGTTATAGAATCAAAATGCTATCAACAGTCAGTAGTATGAAATGCTAGCTTTGTATGATTATATAGATCATATTAACATTACAGTGTATGGAATATAATCTGTAAGTAACAATACATCTTACCAGCCTTCAAGCAGAATTTAAATTATATTTATGTTCATGAAGACTAACTTAACCATAGCAATGAAATACCACGCACGTCAATGCAATGAAACTTTTTCCTTACTAAATTTCCTATAGCTATAGTATATTTTACAGCCTGTTTTTATATGATGATGGTGATGTTTCGTTATTGATAGATAATCAAAACAGATAACTTGACACGAAATATATAGTCTGAAATAATCGAATCAAGTTAACGAATAAAACAATTAAAAGTAGAGTAATTATTTAGATAATTGTATTATTGTTATAACTTTCTGTTTAGACCGTTTGTCATACCCGTTGCTCTCGCGCTCAGTCAGTCTTTACGCATCCGACGAAAATCAGTATACGATAATTTTAAGACAATTGTAATATTCTGTTAAAATCAAAACTTTCCACGTTTTAATTTATATTTCCAATAGCTATGTCCATCAAACACATTTGCTAGAAGTAAATACAAGCAGTTGAGCTAAATACAGTTGCTGGCAGTTAAAGACATGTTTACAAGATCATCCGAATTAGCGGTTACGTCACTATGAGCATTAATCAAAGTGGTTCCCAATCCTAGTTAATCAATCGAAATAATTTTACAAAAATTGAGCTTGTTAACATTTTGTATTTTAATTTTTTCAGTATTTTTAACTACAACATTCACAAAATAATAATAACTTACTGCACAGTACATTCGGTCATAGCGGGTAAATATTACGTAGATATATATATGTATGTATGTATGTATGTATCCATATATAAATATAAATATAAATATATATATATATATTTATATATATGCATACATACATACATCGGGTTGATGCCACTGTAGATGCATGTGCTCTAAATCTGCTCATGGCGTTAAGGGCGGTTTCACACATTCTATAAATAATCCACACAGTGCAAAATGACATCCAATCTTTCTTACAATACCAGCTGTCTGCTTTTACACTTGTATAGCCCTACATCTTTCAATAGATACTTGTTCCGAAACAGCCAAGAGAACATCCGGTCCTGGTATTATACACGAATTAATACGTCTAAGCGTGTATCAAAAGGATATTTGTACACTCGCTTGCTCTTATATGCATTGACGCTCGATTAGTTAGAAATCGTTTCAAACAATTCGGTTCTCCATCTTCCGAATTTTCCATATTTCCACACGATCAGGTGACTAGAGTTAGTTTATAGCTGGGACGTACATTATTTCCTTAAATCATTTGCAAAACATAATATTATAGAATACGCATGTTTCACAATCATGCAGCGAAATCAATCAGTCTGGGATTCATCGGTCAGCCGGTTATTCTTATTCCCTTGTCGTTCGATCGTGACATCATCGTTACGAAAATAAAGCTAGCATCCACGTATCATACGGTCAAATGAACAATAACAAGTTACATATCTGTTTATCGCTATTAGCTAACCTCAGCCGCATGATCACGTCAAACAAGCAATTCGCGTATCAAGATTATAAAGAGCAAACGCAACATGTCTGCACATTTGCTACCCTAACGAAGTCATCTTGAACACACACACACACACACACACACACACACACACACACACACACACACACATACACACACTCACACGCACACACACACGGAACAGAACGTCACCTACGATAATCCGCCTCATCAGCTAGCACACACGATGCGCATGCGTCGAGTCCCTAAAACAAGTGCTGACGTCATGTCGGCGCAATCGTCATAACATGGGATATAGATGGACAGGTGATGCAAAATACGGGCACGTGTGCCCTTGCATCAAAATCGCGATGGGTGTTTTCCTCCCTGAATCAATAAATGAGTTACTCGTTGTGCGTGTATTATATGCGTGTGGGCAAGCGTAGGTGCGTTGAAGTGCGTTCGCATCTAAGTGTATGCATGCGAGCGTGAGTGCTAGCGTTTGTTGGTTCGTGCGCCTATGTGCGTGCGTGCACCTGTACGCGTGTGGCATGCATAGGCGGGCACACGTGAGTGCGTGCGCGCGCGTGTGTGTGTGTGTGTGTGTGTGCGCGCGCGCGCGTTTGCGTGTACGTCTGCGTGTACGTGTACCCGTATGTGTATACGTGTGCGTACATGCCTGGCGTGCACGTGGGCGTGTGCGTGCGTTTCTTAAACTACCCCGTTACTCATTAATTCATCATAGGAAATGCGAAAGGTTGCTTGATTATTCTAATTCGGTTTTCATCCAGATGGTTACTGAATCATGAAGACGAACTGCGACTTATCACAACACCTATAGTTTGCAATCAATAATCTCGGTAAACACTCCGAGCTTATAATGCACCGAGTCAGCGGGCGTGTCGGTTACGAAGTTTGCATTGCGTCTACAGAAGAACCGAATTATATTCGGATGGATATTCTGAGTTTAATAAGGAACATGATGAAGCACGGGTTTATAAAACAACAGATGCGAAAACTAAACAAATGCGCATACTTCTTCGCATATGTTTCCCACGATTGCCGCTTAGAACAACCTCTCTAGTCTATACTAATTTAGCCATTTCCCCCGGCATACTGATATAAATAGAATCTGGAATCATAATAACAATACGATAATCAACGTTTAGGCCTACTATCGCGTCCTGGTGGAGATATAACGCCAGCAACCATATGTTCCACCTCTTGTATAACATTATAATCAATACTAAACAAAACAAATATTATACGCGATGTTATATCGATGAATAAATACAGTAGAGCTCAGACGTTCACGTCTAATTCGGTTTTACTGATTTAGCTTACTAATCGTCACAAACGACATCATTGTCTCAATACTAAGCCGTACTTGCCAGCCGTGCAGATTGTACCGCTAAAATGAGAGCACTGACTAATATAGCGAAACTTAAGATGCTAAACTCAAACTCGGCGATGAAACAATCTATTGTTCCGATCATGATATCCTAAAATCTAATAAACACAGATTACTAATGCGCTATTTGATGACCGTGTCGCTCGAGGAATATGTACGGAAATCCATTGTTGGCTAAATGTATGTACAGTCTCGAGAACGCAATTGCTTGAATTAAGGCTATATATTTCATCATTATAGTGACGGCGCGCGCGCGCATATGATACATAACAGTAATGGGCTTTTACGAATCACTTTGATGTGGTACATTTTATCGCTGGCCAAGAAATCGTTGATGCTGAGTTAAATTCTTTAGTTACGAATAGATTTAGCTAGGGAATCGGAAACAACGTTAGCATGTCATCAGATATCTGTATCGACTCTCGCCCAACTATCTATATTCATAGAGTTGGCACAGTATATCGTTGTGAGTTATGCTGATACCAAAAAAACACACCCGTGCGACGCGTCATTGATGAACCAGCCACACTATATAGTGTATCGACAAACTGTGAGTGTATGTAGTATATTCAGCACCGAAGGCGCATTCCCCGTTAGAGCACGGTTGTTTCGTTATTCGCTATGCAAGTGTAGCGCGTGCTGTTGCCGCTGTGGCTCCGCACCATGTTGTCCTTGACGAACAAGTGCTTGAAGGTGTTGCGAAACTGCTTGCTCATGCCGCAGTAGATGCAGAAGTTTATCGGGTAGGACAAGATTATAAGAAACGCCGTCGTCAGCGTCACAGTGTTGAGCACATCGATCGATACGACCTGCAGTTCGAACGTGTTCTGACAGATATGCAGAATGAAGACGATTGCTAGCGGCACCTCGACGACAAGAAACACGCTGACAACGACGATGAGCATGCCAGTCGTGCAGTTGGATTCGCGCAGCTTCTTCGATTCCGACTTGCGATTCTCCTGCATGAGCTTCTTCCGTCGTTCAGCGGCCTGTCGCATCGCCGCGAGCAGGAGGCTGTTGAGTACGATCAGGGTTGTGCACGGTATGACGTGCACGAGTATCACACGGAACCAGTAGTAGATGTTGAAGTAAACGTTTAGTCCGATGCGCCACACCCACGGCTTGAAGTCCTTGAAGCAGTGATTGACTATGTTCGTCGAGTTCTCGGTGACGTTGGCGCGTAGCGGCCACGGCGTTTCGCACATGACGTAGTCGGTGTCGAAGAAGCGCGGCACGTTGTAGACGGTGCTGGCGACGTAGATGAGAAAGATGTTCCACTTTACGCGCTCCATCGAGCACCATGACTTCGAGTAGGTCGGGTGGCACACGAAGATGTAGCGCTGTATTGCCAGCGCCATCGTTAACCAGATCGACGCTGTGTGAAATATGATGGGCAGGAACTCGCCGACGTAGTAGTAGGTCTTGCACCAGGCCAGCGAGACGGGATCGTGGTAGTTATTGAATACGTAGTAGTAGATCCACCACGGCAGATTGACGACGCCAGTCAGCATATCGGAGATGGCCATCGCCGTCAGAAGCATGTTGGTCGCAGTTCGCATGTGCTTCTTGAAGAGGACAATGACGACTAGCGTGTTAAAGACTATGGTGATGAGGATCAAAAGCGGACAGATGTAGCCGAGCATAGGCAGAGCCATCTTCGACTGGTGTGCGTACGTTAGTGGTTGCCAGTGTCGAATCGGCGGCGTGACGTTGCCGTCGAAGTCTATTGACATCTGGTCGGCTTGGCAGGATCCCGCCATCATGAAGCAAGTTTGAGGAGCTCTCTCCTAATGTCAGTTGTCGCTCTCGCGGGAGTCCTTCCTGTTTGTCTACGATAGCTCGATAGCAAACCCGGGTAGCGTGGCTTTACGTCAGAACATTTTTTCGCGGTTCGAATTCGATGGAAAAATCCTCCGCTGCTGTGATGTGTGCCTATTCCAGCCGCAGCATCAACGTCAATCGCAGGCAATCTTACTGGCAAGCCCCTGCCATTCACAGATAGGGCGCGAGCAGTGATAAATATCTCCTAGTAAATTGCACGGCTGCGCGCACGCAGGCACGACTCCTCGTGTATTCCCGGTTGACCGAAAATCAGGGTAATGTAATTAAGCGAGCTGCTGTCTCACTGTTTAAAACACCGCAAATTGCTCCGTCCTCTTCAGCCCCGCGACACGAGTGGCGTGATGTCACGGCCGAGCAATCAGACAGACGATCGTGGGTAAATATCGAGGTAACCGTCCACCGTCTCTGTCACATTCCTCCGGTCACAGCATCAGACGATGGATAGACGAACCTACCTGTAAAACAGTAAAAAAAAATATTGTTAATTATCGGACAATCAAACGGAACGTTAGCGTTTCAGAAACGACGGTCATCGCCGGTGCTACGAACTGGCTGCTTCTGCGCCGCTAGCTACGTCGCAAAAACGTGGAATGATTTACAGCTGTTAGAGTAGCTCTCACTAATGAAATTTGAAATCCCGTGCCTTTGAGGTTCATTTCTGGAAAAAAAATAACTTCAGAGACCGGCCGCCTTTAGAGGTATTTGTCTGCGTGCAGGGAATCTTGGTGTGTCGATGTTCAGTAATTGGCCGAGAAACGGTTAAGAGACATCTGGTGGATTGTTTGCTCAAAGTAATACTGTATTCGAGGATTTTCTGTTTTCACTCAGCAAGTGCCCACTTTGCATCTATGAACGCTATATGCACGCGATCAACAGGGGAACCATTGCATGTACAGAGCAGCCGAGGGAACTCTGACCTCTTAGCATATTCATTAAAATGATGCGTCGGTGATCAAAATTTTACTTTAGATACATCCGGGCTATCATGGTAGTTTAGGTACATCACTATTCTATTGACGAGCTTGTGAGTGGATGTGATCTACACGTGCACGTTCTTATGATGCACTTCAGGCGAACGCTTACATAACAAGTCAAAGACACACAAACACACACACACACACACACACACACACACACACACACACCACACACACACACTACACACACACACACACACACACACACACACACACACACACACACACACACACACACCACACACACACACACACACACACACACACACACACACACACACACACACACACACACACACACACCACACACACACACACACACACACACACACACACACACACACACACACACACACACACACACACACGACACACACACACACACACACACACACACACACACACACACACACACACACACACACACACACACAACACA